GTACGCAGCGCCTGCGCTTACTTGGCAGCCGCTATTGTAACACTTCTTTAGCGCAGTAAAGCTCCTGCTACCAACACTGTCTTATCTGATTTGCGATTTGGGGGAACCTTCTTCCTGCCGGCACTACCACTTGCGACGGACCGTGGTGGTCCTCAGTCGCTAATGAGGATTTCCTGTATGAGACCGAAGCTCAATTTAATACGCCTACTACCCCCCGTGTTCGCGCGTTCATATACTCATTTTTTGCTTCTATTCGCCTAACATAACGTCTAACGTCTGCAGATATTCACTTTTAAATCGGGATTCTAATTTGTGGAGTACTTGTGGCTTTACAAATTTTCGTGCAACATTAGAAAGATTTGGTTGAATGAAGCTTAATGACACTCTGTCCAGTAACAGTGGGCCGTGGGAGTTAGGCGGCAGTTGAAAAAAACCGGTTTTATGTAACCCTGTGTTTCCTCCTTAGAACTCGAATCGCCCTGATGGAAGATCAACTGGCTTTTCTCACCTCCTGGGTGCAGGCAGTTCAAGAGCAACAGGGCGGACAAATCAAACGTTCTTCCGAATCCGAGGACAGTCCAATCAACAGGAACACTCTTTTCTCCAAAACCTCAAACGAGTTCGCCTGCACGCATAAGGAACAAGACTTTTGTGCCCCGGGCAATTCCATCTTTGACAGTACCCACTCGCCGAAAAATGGTTAGTTTACTACACAGTGCTTGCCGTCTGTTGCCTCAGTAACGCGTAAATATCATGGCTCCTCTTTTTGTGTAGCAAACAGTGCGGATTCCTGCTGTCACAACGTAGACACCACAAAGTATTCCCTTGTGCCTTCACCGAAAGCCTCCAAATGGATTGTGCAATGTGGTCGGTCGGAAGCCCCGCTCTCGCCTGGTGGACGCTGGGGACTGGATACCCCTAAACGGGCTCAGTTGGTGCAGGTGTATAAACGTCTGCGTGAGGTGAAGAACGAGCTTGGAAGCCTCCGAAGAACACAGGAGTCAAATATAGGCATCTTACGCAACTGTTCCGAGGACTTATTCAACGAAATTAATGTTAGTTTTTGCGTCTTATAAATTGCCCTTTGTCCTAAAATATGTCGATAATAAAGTTAAAAACGGAGTATTTGTTTAGCCTTTAAGATCTCCCCAGGCAGCACACTATTTATTATACATCCCCCACGCGCGTTTACTACATAACAGGGGCTTCATCGAAAGTAATGCTCCATCTTGGATCTTAACCTTACATTATGTCTACAGTGCGTCACTTTTGTGCAATTTGTAAACTATCTTTTTTGTTTAGTAAGATGAGCGGAAAAACTGCCGGTCTTATCCCAGGTCCAGGCCTTCCTTGTCAGAAATTTGCGTTTTTCATTGAATTTATCTTGTCAGACGAACCGATAAGAATTGGTTTCTAAAGCTGAAAAGTTGAGCAGTTAATGTGCAGTAGTTAAATGGTGGAATACAAGTCGCCGCATCAAACATTTTTCCGATATGGCTGCCAATAAGGTTGGCCCCTTGTATTGATGAATGCTCGGTTAAGAGAATGTAATTATAGGTGGACGAAGTACAAGTGCAGAAATTCTGAAACTTTCCATCAGAGCTTTTATAGTAAAATTGGCTTCAACAATATGATAAATTAAATTGTAGCATTGAAATCTTAGGCTGGCGCTGAATTGGATATTTCTCCACAGTGAATTAAATCAGTTGATGCAGGATTTTTTAGGAACTTTCGCTTCTGTTGCGCCCTGGCAAATCACAAAGTGTATATGTCGTTCATGTTTGTTTCCCAGATGATTAATGGTCAGCAAGTAACTTTTCAATGTAGCATAGCTAGTATGTCTTGCTAACTGTTGCTATTTCTATATTTTTTGTCTTCGCATTTGTTGAAACTGCCTGTCTAGAGTTATCATCTTAAAGAAGAAAATCGAAATTCACAAAATAAGTCAGGTTCTAAATTTTCAATAAAATGTTACCGAGCAAAATGAAATTCATTCGCGCCGAAGCATTTCGTTATCGGTTTGTTCAAAAGTCGATTAATAATCAGGAATTATTGATGATATTGTAACGCATCTAATTTAAATTCCGAACCGTAAACGATCAATAAAGGGAACTTGGTTAGAATGTGAACGGCTATTCAATGTAAGACAGTTTTAGGATTAAATCATTGGAGGCACATTTCAGTCTGGATGTTCGGCAAAAGCCAGTGCAGATCTCCATGTAGTTTGCGGTAGTCCTTCGGTATTTACTCTTGTTAGGATTGGTAAGAAAATTGCAAAGGAATTGATCAGAGGTATTGCTGGCGCACCCAACTCTCCGTTTGGACATAGCTTTTTTGCACTTATCAGCAAACAATAACAGTTCAGCAGTGAAACACGCAGTGTTCACTTTTAAGTGTAAAATCACATAAACAAAATTTCCTCAAACACAAATGTATTCAGGTTGCGAAAATTCCCATTGAAAATTTCAGAAGATGAAATAAAGAACATACGTTTGTTTTCGATAATTCTCATCCGGCCTTTACATTTATATGGTAATTAAGTAAATGAACAATGCTAATTCTCATCAGGCCTTTACATTTATATGGTAATTAAGTAAATGAACTATGTATTCATAATCAAACTTGAAACCAAAACTTATAAGTTCTTCCTAGCCACTTATTCATATCTTAAAATGCCATCATCATCAAACATCTAGTGTCTGAAAATCACCCAACAGGCCGAGGCCTTGGCGTCTTAAAGACCGATTGCATACTGATGGTGTACTATGCTGAGGACCCTCAAAATTGTCACCGAGTTGACGCAGTCACAATCAATATGCCTATTTTTTTCATATTTGATCGGAATTTTTGCCTGTTCCAACATTGCGTCAAAGGCATTGTCTCAGTTTTGCCAACGCACACCAGTCAATACTGTCCTCTCGTGTTTTAGCGGTTACTTGAAAAAGCCTCTCACAAGAATATGTCCCCTCTGCGAGCGGCCAGACTAGATCTGGACAGTCAGATTTCCACCTACCTGACAGAATGCAACGACGTTGAGGACTGGCTGCGAGATCTGGAGGCATGCATCGAGGAGCTTCGAATAGATGCCCTGCAACGTCGCTGTCGCGTCAGTGTGTCGGACGTTGAAACCTACGCGCTGCATTTGAGTCGACTCAGCAGTCGTCTTGTTGCATTCAAAGGTACCGAATTTTTCTAAGTATGATCATATACTTCTTTCAAGTGACTGTGATAGTATTGAAGCAAATAATTCAATCAATATGTTGTGATATTTTCTACCATGAGTTATGGCACGAATTGAAGCAAAGGTTCGCATCCCAGGTATGTGTATAGATTGAGAAGAAGCTGTTTCGATAACCGGAATCATTGTTTTATTAGTCTGATTGAAGCCTGAGCGTCGGACAACAACTCAGTTGACCGATGCATATAGCTGGCGCCCGCATATTTTGCCCTCTGCAGGTATCTCCAGTCTCACAGCACTGGTGGTCCTGTCCCTCCCTCCCCCCTTCCCGCCCCTATGATGTTTAATTGGTTCCTT